GTGTGTGTGTGTGTGTGTGTGTGTGTGTGTGTGTGTGTGTGTACACAGAACACTGTGCGTTCATTTCTCTGTTCCCCCACCAGCAGGCATTCAGTTGTTTTCATCTGCCTGCTAAGCTGCGATGAACATGGGTGGCACTGGTAGCCTTTGACTGTTCCCCCAGTGTTTCTATCCTGTGCTCAGGGTTGAGAACCTCAGGACCAGCCTCCCCCAGCAGGCTCTCTGCTCTGGCTCGGCCTGCTTTCTCAGGGGCAGGCTGGGCAGCGGCTCCACTGCCTACAGCCATCATTCTGATTGTTGGCCAGCCGGGCCCCAGGATCAGTGGCAGGCAGCCTAGCCTACCCTGGCTCAGTCCCTCCCTGCTCTGTGCTGCCTCCTGCCCTCTGAGCACAGTCCAGAGTTCCCGGGGCAGAACTGGCCGGGGCCTGGGTGCCGAGGACACACATCTGGGCTGGAGATGGAGCTCAACGGTGGACAGGGGAGAGCAGCATTCTCCTGCCTTTAGAGGGAATGAGACCGGGACACCCTTCCTTCATTCATAGGAGGGCACCGCACAAGAAAGGCACAGGCACACAGTGTGGAGTTTGGGCCTGGGGGTCCCCTGTTCTGGGCCATGTTAACCCTGCGCCCCCCCCCCCACACTCCCCCATGAAGCCCTGCAGCTGCTTGGGGACAGCGAAGCCCTTCCATCGCAGAGCGCTGCACAGAGTCACACACCCTGCAGGCCTCTGGCTTCCCTGCAGCCTGCGTACCTCCCTCTCCTGGCTCAGGACCCCCTCCAGGAGAGACGGGGGCAGTGTCCAGCATGCCCCCAGCTGCTCTCCATGCCCCCATGCCTACGACACCCTCGCCCAATGCCTCTGCAGGATGAAGAAGGAAGACGGCTCCCTGACCATCTTTGGGGTGGCCGAGCGAGACCAGGGCAGCTACACGTGCGTGGCCAGCACCGAGCTGGACCAAGATCTGGCCAAGGCCTACCTCACCGTGCTAGGTAACTGCCACTGCTCCTGCTGGAACTGGCCAGCCCTCCCCAGCTCCCACAGCCAGAGAGCCAAGGGGCTAGGCAGCCCAAGGCCCAGTAGGAGTGGTGATGACTTGCCTTGCGATCTAAGGGTCTGGGAACAAGCTATGTGGGGCAACTCCCCTCTTGAGTGGTATAGCGAGCACCCCTAAGTCCTCAAGCGAAGGATGCCTGCGTGGCAGGAGGGTTGCTTTTACCTCTTTTATCACTAACTCCATACCACTGAGTCGATGAAAACAATTCCTCATTAAAACAAGACCGAGTTTGCCTTTGTCCTCCCACCCACCTCTGTTAGCCCGGCTCCTGCTCCCAGCTGACCCTGGTCCATGGGGGATGTCCCAGTGCATGCCATGGGCCCGTCTCTGCCTGCACATATGTCCAGGCCAAGGGTGTAAAACTCCAAATCGTCCCCAGCCGGGGACAAGGGTGCCTTCCTGGGCTGGGAAGCCTCTCCCCATTGTCTGTGCCACCCGGGCCCTCAGGCTAGGTGCCCTGCCTCTAGGGGTGTGGGTGCTCCCCACCCATTTGCTCTGGTCCCTTTGAGGGTCGAGGCACCGTGCTGGGAACAGGGAGCCTGGAAGTGAAGGTGACACCGGGGTGGGGGGAAGGCGGTGGGCCCAGGACCCAGAGGGCCTGTGTCAGGCTGGAGGAACTCCCCAAGGGAGGGGTGGGTGAGACCATGCTGGGAGCACCCCTGCCCCGGGCACTGCTCACACCTGTCCCTGTCCTTACTCAACAACCGTGGCCACGGATAACCCACTAACCTGGATAACATGTCTTACCTTTGCAGCTGAACAGGCCACTCCAACTAACCGTTTGGCTGCCCTACCCAAAGGTAATTCACACTAACCGAGGACCCCCGCCCAGGCCCGCCCACGCAAGGCCCCCCCCCACCCCCCCAGAGGCTCTAGTCTAGCAGGAAGGAGGTGCTGAGACAAGCATGTGCCAAGTCTGGTTCCGGGGGTGACACGCCGCCTGCCCCCCCTCTCCCCCCAAGTGCTGAGTCTGACAGTCTCCAACTGTCCCCGGTGCACCTGTGAGCGCAGGCACAGGAAACTGTGGGCTGAGCCCGGGCCCCATGGGTGATAGCCACATGCACCCGTATGATGGCCCACGTGCACATCACCATGGTGAGCTGGGCTGTCCTCTGCCCCCAGCAGGGCCGCTCGAGCGTCTAAGGGGAGCCTGTTAGTACCCTGCTCCGTCCAGACCCTCCTCCCGCAGCTTGGAGCATCCCTGTGTTTGTTTCTACGAGGGCCTTTGTGGGGAAATGGAGTCGGAAGATAACGACATTTTCCTGTGAACAGTGTGGAGGCCCTGGAGAGCCACACTCATACGTGCACACACGTACACATACATGCAAGTATACACACACGTACACTTGTATACACACACGTACACGCATACCTGTACACGCGCACACGTGCGTGCACACACATGTCCACACACATGTAAACACAGAGAGCTCATGGAACTCGCCAGAATAGGAACATCACTGACTCGGGTGCCCAGGTGGGGGCGGTTCTTGCCCACCAGTCGGTGACTGGCTGCCTTTGTTTCCTTCTTCCCAAGAGATCCCAGGACGACCTGAGCCCCCACAGGTGTGACCTTGCCAGGCTTGGAAGCCAGCTGGGGCTTCTCTGAACTTTTAGA